TACAACAATGTCTTGTATATTTGGACATACATGTCTCTTGGGGTGGGTGAGCGGTTGATCAAAATTTCATAAAAATCCAACCGTTAAAGAAAATATAAAAAGTTAATAATCTGAAAGGGCATCTGGAGTTGGTTGGTGTTGTGGTGTAAATTCATTATTTCTTTAATGTCATTTATTACATGTAAAGTAAGTAAGGTCTTTGAGATAAAGTACCGCAACTGCAGTTAAATAGAATTCTAGATATAAAAGCTACTGTTGCATATAAAAATACTCGTTTAGCCTCCATTTGATATTTCCAGGAAACATCACGTGTGAGCGATCGGTTCCTGACTTTTCATGAAAGGAATTAGTATTGATATTTGATTCTATTTGCTTGCCAAAGATATTCGTGGGGAGTGGATGCCGTTAGGAGTTCAAAAGAAACGTTATATCTAGTATATGCTTATATACACTGTGGTCCATTTGTGATTTAACAGACAATATAACAATGGCGATGGATAACCAAAAGGCAGTAGCTCTCATACTTCTGGACTTTACTGAAGCATTTGTTATAATTAATCATTAACTTCTTGTATCTAAATGCAGTTGTTATGGATGTTCTGAAAAACCTCTTTCGTTTATTCAAACCTTCCTTGAAAATCGGTTAAAAAAAGATCGTCTACGTCGACACTCAGATTTTCTATTAATTTAGCAGTAACGACTTAGAAACCGCTAATAATAAAATTAATCAAGATCTTGAGAAGCTTAGTAGTGGTCATAATCTTCGTCTGAACCCTTTAAAGACAAATATGTTGGTATACGTAAATAAAACAAAAAGGAGTGTTTTAAAAATGGACAAACATAGCCTTAAAAGCTAATAAATACGGAGAGGACATATGCATGACACAAATATTAGATATAGACAGATTTTTTCAATTAAACGCCACAGCAGAATACATATTTTACTATATAAAATTCTTTATATCGCAGTTTAAAAGCAATTTATTCATTGCCAACATTCAAGAAAAAAGAAATTCTACTTTATCAGCAGCGAAATCTTTTGTAACCCTTAAGTGTTAACTGACCTTTATTTTATCGTTATTGTATACTGGTTATAATTTTCACAAATTTTCAGTTTATACATATATATAGGTATAGTTTCTAAATCTTGCCTCCTAAAATGTTATTCAAATAAAAAAGACCTTAATTACTATTACTATTATTATTATTTAATATCCCTACCTAAATATTTTGAAAACTGTTTATTCTATGTAGAAGAAGAGTATCAAACGAAATATGTAGGGTTTAGCGGGGGAGAAATGATGGTGACCTTCGAAGGTCAAGTGAATGATTTCAAAAAGAACCTCCTCCTTTTTCACAAGAATTAAGAAAAAGAATAAATTTTATGTACGAGCATCGTCTTGGTTTGGGTCTAATCAAAACATCGAAAACACTTTGACTTATACATTGACCTTGACCATGACATTGATCATGTATTGACCATGACCTTGACTATAACATTGGCCATGACCATGACCTTGAACATAACCTTGACATTGATCACATCCTTGATTATGAACTTGACCTTGACCTTGACTATGACCTTGATCAGTACCTTGACCATAATCTTTACTGTGAGCTTGACCGTGACCTTGACAGTGACCTTGATCATGGCCTTGGCTATGACCATAGTATTGAACATAAACTCGACTGTGACCATGACCAATACCATGACCTTGTCCTTGACCTTGAGCATTACGTTGACCATGACTTTGACTATAACCTTGACCATGACAATTATCATAACCATGACCTTGACCATTACGTGACCATGACCTTTACCATGACCATGAACGTTGACCGGTCCATGACCACGACTTTGACATTTACCATGATGACCTTGACCATGACCTTGGCTTGACTATGATGTCCACCGTGACTTTTATTATGGCCTTGGCCATGACCTACAAGTTCATATAAAAAATTTTGAAGGAATCCTCTCATTTTTATACTTGGAGTGAAAAAATCAGGAAATTTTACGTTTAATATGACCTCTTTTACCGGTCCTCCATGATGCAGCCGCACGATTTGCCTGCCAGAAAAATCCGCCTTACTTCGGCCTCCTAACCGTCAAGAACTTCGTACATCCAGAACTGGTCGATACGCCCGCTCCTTTGTCCGAAGGGTATCGAGATTATCGAACAACCTACCTGAAGAGGCTCTTCCCAGTTATGCTAACCTAAGGCAGTTCAAAAATCGCGACGCCCTGGTATTTAGGCTTCGGTATAAAAAAATAAGCCGGTTTTATTTGTACGAACAATAAGCAATAGGTACGTTTTTCAGCAGACTTTATAAAATAGTACGAATCTCTATTTGCGCCAAGTTCCATAGTTAAGAATCTCTGAATCATTGCTCCTGGCGCGAGTCTTTTTATGAGTAAAATAAAAATCATCACTTCCCACAAAATGAAATGATAACGATTTAGGAATGCAAACATGCCTCAAGAACACATCAATATCCCTCAAAATCGGAACATGACCGACATGACTACTCGTTGATGCGAACACGTGAATACCGAGAACCAACAGGCAGAATCAAGCGCTAATGAACAGAATGAATCCGTGCGCTTTGTGAACGGCAGAACATACTGCCGGTGGTCGATTCGACGAACGACATCGTCGTTTTGTCTGCGATGTCCGTTCATCGGACGCAATTAGGGCACCGTAATAACGGTACGGAACGGAAAGTTTCATCAATCCCGACTTTCAAGAATAAAAGGGGCGACAGACCCACCGACCGTGGACGTTCGTCTTTTTATTGGATGTATGCAAGGGATCCAGCTGAAAAAATTAAGGCAGATAGACTTACAGGTTACCTAGCATCGCGTATACATCGATTGTCTACGTTTTGATTTAGACAGTGCGTGAACAATGTTTACAATACGTTTCCAATGTATACAATACGTATGCAGTGTATACACAATGTATATGATATATACGATGTATACAATGTATACAATGTGTGCAATATATACAATGTATACAATGTGTACGATGAATTCCTACGTATACTCTGTACATGATGTATATCATATACAATATATATATATATATATATGGAAAAATCTGCTGGTAAGTTGGCAGACTCGGCAGCATTCGATGTATACAGTATATACAATGTGTACATTGTATACAATGTATACAATGTATACAACGTATACAACGTATACAATGTATACAATGCATACAATGTATACAATATATACAATGTATACAATGTATAACGTACAACGTATAAAACGTATACAACGTATACAACGTATACAACGTATACAACGTATACAGCGTATACAACGTTTACAACGTATACAATGTATAAAATGTATACAATGTATAAAATGTATACAATGTATACAATGTATACAATGTATACAATGTGTACAATGTATACGATATACATGATGTATACGATATATACATATAGGTTAGTGGTACCTGCAGGGTCTTCATAGGGATCGTCGACAGGGTCTTCGCTGAAAAAGTCTGCTGGTAAGTTGGCAGACTCGGCAGCATTCGTATGAAGGTGACCGTTAGCATCACGAGACTGGATTGGTGAAACTTTGGGATTGAGGTTTGTTCTTAAATACAGAAACGATTTGTTCTTATTTTTTGAGGTAACGGGTTTGCCTTCATAAGCATGTTTGACATTGTGTTCAGCATAGTTAGAAGGTTAGAAAAGGTACGATCCTGTGAGTAAACCTCTGTCACAATGCCATATTTTGAATATTATGAATGAAAAAGCCGCACAGAGATTCTAACTATCTCTATCTAAATTCCATAGAAACTGGTGATCAAGCATTTTTTTGTCACAAACATTGATATCATCTTCTTCCAGCATGTTATTATAATTCCTTAACATATTTCTAATAAAAATCTACACACACAGCACCGCATTTTGCCTATACACCTCTTAAAATTCAATTATTAAAATTACACTGTAACGCGCCATAACGATAGCGGTATCCTCGAGGCACCAGTGGCAGCCATACTAGGAATTTTCATTAGTTCTTCGCGAAATTGCTGTTTTATATTTTTATGAATAAATTTGAATAAGTCCCCTCGCCTCAAGGAAAGTGCTAGATATTATGATTTTAATTGTTATCGTTGCAGCTTTTCTTTTGAGGCGACGTTCGTTCTGGTGGAGTGGAAAAGATTCAAGTGCGCATCGTTCCAGAACAAGGCCGAAAAAGTACGTTATTTGCTCGAAGCGTGAAAACTTAACGTTTGCGGAGTAGCGATCGCAAATTATAATTTTTCCGCTCTAGAGCATCAAAGTTACATATCCAGTAATCTTGTTCTACTCCATTGTTATGGTAACCTGTGAAATTCGACCAGTTCTGCATTTTCTTAAGACCGAAATTAAGAATCTACATGGAACATAGAAGAACTGGTCCCCCTCCTACTTACTGCTTGAGCGGTCGCAGTAAGCAAGCTGAAATTCGCGGTTGTGAAACTGACGCATGGATACAAGACTTTACTGCAAAAGTGGCAAAGATAGAGGCAAGGCGCCATTTTGGACCATTTCCTTTTTAAATGAAATGAAGTGTCGTGCGATACCTAATTTGGAAGCTCTTAATGGGTACTCCATAACTCTAGAGTATAAAAGCACTATCCTTAAAAATTGTGAACTGGCAGGTATATAAATAATTATAATCGTAACTGCAGTTTGGGTCCGCACTAGTAGTAAATCACATGCCACTAGCTACTTACCTATGGACCTACTAGCCGTATGCCACACCGACTAGCCTGCTGGTTGTCATAATCATATTGCTCAGAATCACACTGCTATATCAGGCATCACTCACACTATCCCTCCAGCCAGCGCCTGGTTCTGGCTGCACTATTGCCACGTGAAAGTATTCATCTGCTGACAATCATGTACAACTGGTTTCCAACTGTCAAATTTAGTTGTCCAAGTTTATAATCCAGTGTTCAATTTGAGCCCTTTCTCGTATAACTGATCTATATGTCCGCGCCAGCCGCTTGCCACAGGACAGCCAGCCTGCTAGTTGCAATAATTGCATTGCAAGAGTGCGCACCTCCATCATACTGCTCTTCCACTGTCCCAAACCTGCCAATACTAATTTTGATCTGCATTCCTGGCAGGTGACTTAACCCTCACCTCTTACTCGAACTATAGCGATAGCATCCTGAACCCGATGCTGTCCATTTTTTTAACTTATAACCTGCCTACGCTTCTCAACGATTTAACAGATTTTTAGCAGAACCTCGTTGTTCAGCTAGTAACCTATCCCACTTCTGAGTTTGCAAGCCGAAAAATATGCGAACAATTCAAGTTGTATAAATACCAACGATAAATAGACGCGGACTTGGCACCATCAATACATCCTCAAATATCATAACCATAATCGTTTATATGTATTACTTCATCATAGGCAGAGATGAGATCACAAAATCAAACCTTTTTGGAAATCACTCTATGATGACATGACATGTTGTGGTAAGCCGAGTTTTATCCTCTTACTGCGAAAAACTTGCAGTATAAACCTTAAAATAGCTGCTATGTACATAAACTGCTATATTTGCAAAAAATACTGTAAATACGAACAGCAAGCTTTAAACATTGCCATTTGATATAAACCTTGCCCGTTGTTTTTCCATGGCGAACAAACACAATATCTGTAAATGGTATACGTATGCGCTGTCATTTTTTTAACTGATCCATTAATAAATTCGATACAGGCGAGCTTTGAGCACAGACAGAGGCGCACTGGTATTTTTTCAAAGGGATGTTATTCGGGCAGAAAAAGTAAAGATAAGGATAGATAGCCCTACGAGACCATTTCGCTACTACGCGTCAAATCGATGGCCAAAGGCTTGTAGAAGATGGTAGACCGGTTACACTCTATCGCCGCACCCGAGCATTTGGTCTCTTTTGACACCCTCCGCGGTTAGTGCTTGCTGTGACTGCGGACCACTGTCCTCAACGCAACGTATGAACTGAGCAAAGAACGACAACATTGGGAGGCAGAATGGCATAATGTCTAGGTAAGCACGATGGTCGTAGAAGGATAAAACGCCGCTGTGGAGAACGGCGTGATATTGGATTTGCTGTTGGGAGGTATGTACACAGGACTGTTGGAGTAATGGTTTGGGGGGATATTGCCTATGGTACACACGTCCTTTTCCAGCAAGACAACGTACGTCCCCACATTGCTGGTCGTGTTAAGGACTTTCGCCAAGAAGCAGGCGCTAACGTTTTGCCGTAGCTAGCCCGTTCACCGGATTTAAATCCCATCGAACATGTGTGCGATATGATGGGGAGGAGACTATCCACTTGGCATCATCCGCCACAGACTCAGACACAGCTAATCCACGAACTTCGACTTGCTTGGAATGATGTGCCATAACCAAACATCGATCATCTCATTTTGTTGATGCATAGCCAGGAGTGTATTCAGCTGCGGGGTCACCCAACACATTATTAATTCTTTTTTCTTATTACTTGTCAATAAAATTTCAAGAGAATGTTATCGTTTTCCTGGGTGTAACACTTCTAATGTCACTGATTATATTATTGTTATTATCATTGTCCAAACATGCGGCTATTCATGCTTCCTCAGCGAATACTATGAGCAAATAGGTGTGTCGATTCCAAATTTCCGTGTGGCATTAAATGTCTCTATGACGTCATACTCCCACCACTCCCCGTCATTAGCAACACCCTTGACTATGAACACAAATACATCCAGCCAACTTTGTGCATTGCAGCAGAATTTAATATTAAATTGTGAACATTATACCTATCGATTTGGAATTTAATTACTGCAGGATTGGTTCGTTACCGAGCAGAATTGATAAACGTTATGGACTGTTTCATTTCCAGCGAAATTATATTTCATCTGTTTATACAGAACGAAGAGCTTTGTCAGTTACATTTTACGTTTATATGCGGTGATGAATTGCTGTAATTGTCTAATTCGCCTTTATTGTTTAAGCTTCAAGCGCTTTCGGGACACCATCATAAAGTTTTTCAATGTTGGAGTCACAATTCGGGTGTGGCTAAATTCATCTGCAAAGAGAACCGATTGTTTTGATAACACTTTCTACCATTTCCAATGTAAAACTTCACCGACCTCAGCACGTTTACAGTCCTTTAGAAGAGGCTTTTACCTAAAGGCAGTGAAAGCACCAATGTTACGATCACCACGACGTTCTGCACGAACACATGCGTTGACCCTTGGACGTTCCGATCGTTCTTTTAGGAGAATCCTTAATCATGATCTTTATTTCCATCCTTACAAAATGGCAATTGTGCAGAAGCTTTCTGAACGCGACCTAAATTCCCGGTTGAACGCGTGTCAGCGACTTCTCGAAGTCGTTCCTGGGGACGCTATTGTTTTTTTTTTGTAATCGATGCTCTTTGACATTTATGTGGATCCGTCAATAAACAAAACAAGCTAACACCAATCTTCGAGAATTGCAGCAACGGCCTTTGCATTCACGTAAAGTTACAGTATGGTCAGCAATTTCGTCAGCAGCAATTATTGCTCCCTGGTTCTCTGAGGTAGTGACAGTGACAGATGAGCTGGACTTAGGGGACTCCTCTCTGATTTGATCTTCAAAACCATGGAAAACGTGCATACGTTATGCCGATTTAAAAGAAGCGGTAAAGGAAAGGAACAAGGTTTTAGAGACAGCGAGGACAATGATCATGGTGCAGATTGTGCTATTGAGCCAGAAAACATGGTTCAAATTGTAAATCAAAGAAGAACCTTGGAGTCTCAAGTTGACGAATCAAGCTGAAAATTATTAAAATCGGATAAATATACGTAGGCGTTTCCCTTTTTTGTGACTCTTGCTTCGTGCAGCATAATCATGTCATCTGTCTCTGCCAAAATAATACGCTTCTCACTACTAAGGCTTCCATCAGATCGCATTAACCGTATCAGGAATGCAACGACTTCATTTGTCTTATCAGCTTTACGCTTTGTGTGCCATTTTTATATATTTGTTAACACACGAAGTGACTTATCGCATTTTCGCTTCGAATTCTGGCGTTTTCAACTTTAACAGCTAGTGAAGTTATCTTCTTTCTGCCAGGAAGTATAACCAATCGAAATTTCAAGCCATTTGTTTCCATCCGTTCAGTAATTCTAACGACTCCATATACCAAAAGCCTCCCTAGAGTATCTCTGTCTTTGCTAGTGACTATCATCGCCAGGCCATCAATCTGTCTGTCTTCTCAGGGACAATTCTTTTTCCTCCTTATATCAAGAGACTTTTTAGAGAACATCTCTCTTTGCTAGCGACTTTCATTGCTAGATAGTCCCTTCTTTTCCTCAGCCTACCTCGTATCAGTCATTCTAGTATATTTGAGTTCCTTATCAGAAGGTTTTGGATAGACGCCGCAACACCTACCTGAAGAGGCTTTTCCCACTACTACTAACACTAACATGATGTCATACAACATCCAAAAACATAGTGTCTCATACTGTCGATGTCAATACTTCGCCGCCAATAGGCGTTGGAAGTAAAAGGCACCACCCACTGTCACAATTGCCACCGCACTCGACGAAAAATATTTTATAATTGCCGTCGCTGCTGGCGCTGAATTGATTTTGTTGCGGTCATTCTATATGTCATCGCCATACACACAGAGAAAGCCCACATGCTGAGATTGGAAAATTGAACGGAACAAAAATAAACTACTGACGGATCAAATTAGTCAAAGGCCATACGGCACAAAGAAGCTTGCTACAACTTTTCGGCGATAAGGGATTCTGTAAAGCTCTTCTCCCTGTTTTCTAATTCTTCTGATCAATGAAGTGTGGAAGGGCTCTTCGCCATGTCCTAATTAAAAATATAAATTTGCTAGAAACACTCCTCAATCAATTATCGATCCTCAACAAAATACTAATGAAAGAATCATGCAAACAGAATCCTAACAAACGTTGATAAAAAATAAACTACTTTTTAACAAAAGAACAACGTGAATTAACTGGTAACAAGACCTAGAACGGAGATCATGGCTATTCGTTTTGAAGCATAGGATAATTTTAAAGAGTCCAGGAGATCAACGAAAATTAACCTCAATTAATACCGGATTTATTAATGACATAAGACTGCAAAAATATCAATGCGCCAAGGGAACGGTCCAAAAGCCTATTCCGTGCTTTTGTTCCTGCAACAGAGGAAGCTCGTGCGCTATCAGTTGAAGCTGGCTTTATGGTATTAGAATTTTCAACACGGAAATAAAGCTTGTCTCTAGACGCTCGAAAATAAGATTTCCTAATTTTTATTGATACCCGGGTTTTTCGGCAAGTATTACCCGATTCCGAAAACTCTTGGATACCCGGGTATACCCGACCCGGATACCCGGGTCCGCAAACCCTAATATCGATGTCCCTATGAAAAGTTTTGGATAGAAGCATGCCTTGGGACATCAGTAATGCTTTGCAGAACTTGAGGACCTCGCAAGTGCGATTGCAATAAAACACCAAGCCGCACAAGAGCGAGTTGTAATCTTGTCGATAAAATTTTATTTTAAACGTCTATCTAGTGCTCTAATAAGGTGCCGCCAAATCATCCCTTTCTCCAGAATCACACCAATATACTTAGCGAAGACTTCTCACAGTACTCGAACTCCATTCACAGAGAAACTAAATTCTATCACTGCCGATAACATTCGTCGCCAAATACTTCCATCTTCCAACAAGTGATATTTTGTACGTAGGATCCAAGACATGTATACATCTACACTTCACTCTCTTTTCAATTTGTAAGTATTCAAAGGCGTTCCATCTCCGCAAGTCGGGAATTCACTTCCAAATTGTATTACAACTTGTACAGTAGGGTGGATATAGAAATTCGCCTTCTCGTCCCCAGGAATATTTTCAGTTTGGAACAAAATGGACAGGACTGGATCCAGATTTTACTACTTAGTGCAGTACAGTGAAATCTTATATGAAATTTGTGAATTTTTATTTTAGACACAGCTGAGTTTATGTAATAACAAAACAATATGTTACCACGGTTAATATCAACAACATTGATCATTCAGCGATGTGTGTAAAACCTGATCGCTACGGCATTGAACTTATTCTGCAATTACTTGAATCTTGTTAAGCAAGGCGTTATATATATATAGATCTGTGATAAGAACAATCACATCAGGGGTTTTTCAAGGTTCCATTTTAAGACCGTTGCTTTCCATTATATACACAGCTGATATCTTAAGATCTGTACAGTAGTCACACATAAAAGGATATACTGATGACACGCAGCTTCTGTTTCATTTTGAGCCATCACTTATGGAACAGGCAAAATGACTTATTCAATTCAGACTTGCCTATGTATGCAACATCACTCTTTTATAGGCTTTTCACGTATAATACAGAGTCCATCTTTAACAGGTATAGGAATTTTGAAATTTCAAACAGTGATAGCATTCATTTCAAACTGCATCTCTGACTTCATGTCCTGGAAATGCAGAATAGGATCAATTCAAGTGTCCTTTTGTTCTAAACCATATGATTCAGTACGATAATTATTCATAGACCTACAGTCATTTACTACATACGTGAAAATATCATATTTGTATGTCAAATTATTGTTAACCTTTGGTTTTAAAATAATAATGGTTGAGTGAATTGCTGAAGCGATTGTTATTCTCAAAGCCTTGGGGTACTTAGATTCCAAGGTAATTATCAAAAGAATTATTCTATCAGACAGCTTGTGAGTCCTGCATGGAATATATAACCCAGTCAACATAAACAATCTTTATACTAACCCATACATCATGAAAATAAAACAATACATACACAAAGTAATAGACAAAAACTAGAAAATAAAGCTGGTGTGGGTAAAAGCCCATGTTGGAAATAAACATATTGAGGTGGTTGATTGATTAGCCAAGAAAAGTTGGAGCACTTTCCACTTTCCCATATGCAGAAAAATAAATGAGGGTTGTTGGGGAAACAATATGGGAGAAATATAAAAACACAAGAATATATAGATATGTATAAATACAGCCCTAAATCCCTAGATCCGACTGGTTAAGCGATTACAAATATACTAAATGACATATAAATCCGAACACCGAGTTTAAATGGTTTTATTTTAATAAAAGTTGGTGAATATAATTATCTTACTGTAAATAACAAGTGAAAAAATTTTCAGCCTTATCAGTTGGACATTCCGGTTTTTATACTGCTTTTTTTTAATTCACTAACGCTCTAAAAATGAATATTTCAGCCGCAGTAAAGAATCAACGTTGGCGGATTTTGGTTCTTGACATCCTTTACGATTGGTTACGATGCCTAGAGTACGGAGACCTGTACGATTTCGTCAACTTAGTGAGTTTGATAGGGGCCGTATAGTGGGACTTCGGGAAGCTGGACTTTCTTTTCGGGCAATTGCAGTTAGAGTGCAAAGAAGTGTAGACACTGTGGTTAGGTGTTGTCAGGCATGGCTTGGAGAAGGCCGTACGCAAAGAGCAAGGGGCACTGGACGCCGCCGTAGAACAACAGGGTCCTCCCTTTAACTCGAGAACACCGACGTAATCTCCTTGAGTGGTGCAGACAACGGTCACTCTGGGATCAGGAATGGGACAGTATTGTCTTTAGTGACGAGTCTCGATTTTGTTTAGGCATGCACGATGGTCGTGCCAGGGTTAGAAGGCGACGTGGTGAAAGGAGGAATCCACAGTTTTTTGTTGAAAGACATGTTCATCACACTGTTGGAGTTATGGTTTGGGGTGCTATAGCTTATGGTTCCAGGTCATCTTTAATCTTCATCAGAGGTAACATGAACGCGCAGAGCGTTATATCCACGAAGTTCTAGAACCCCATCTTTTACCCTATCTTGACACCCTGGCAGATCCAACTTTCCAACAAGATAATGCCCGACCACATGTTGCAAGAGTCACAATAGACTTCTTTCAACATAATGATGTCACATTGTTACCATGGCCACCAAGATCTCCCGACTTATCCCCAATTGAGCACGTGTGGGATATGATGGGTAGGAGATTGCTCAATTTGCAACGTCCTCCTCAGACTCTAGAAGCACTTCGAGAGGAGTTGGTGGTTGCCTGGAATGAGATACCACAGGAGGACATTGACCACCTGATCAGAAGCATGCCTAGGCGCGTTGGACAATGCGTAGCACATCAGGGTGCATCCACACATTATTAAAGGTCAAAGGGCTTTAAAGCAGTGCAATCGTTTTGAAATTTTTATCATTTACTTATTATGCTTCATTAAGTACTTATACAAAATTTTATTAAAATAAAACCATTTAAACTGGGTGTTCGGATTTATATGTCACTTAGTATACAACAGAAAAACAGTGACGACATTAACAAGGGTAAGATTTGAACACGCATGTTACCCAGAGCATTTACGTCGGATTGCCGTACTATGCACAAGATGTAATGAAGTTGGAAATCTTGACCACCTTTTTTTCGGCTTCCAAAACACAAGAAATAAATCTCTGCGACTAATGAATAGAATAACGGATTTAAACATACCGACTCCTTTTAACGTCATGTACCATGTCAGCTTTGCTTAATTTATCCAGTCAATCAAAGTAAACCTATGATCAACTGACATACCTTTGTGTCTTTTCTATTTCCTATATCATTTCTTCTCTTACCGTGGTCTACCTGTGCAAGTGTGCCCTGATCGACCCCTGAGGCATGAAGAAGTGTCCTCTGTTTAGTTCCGTAACATCATACCACTATAACAGACTTTCAATTAGGAAAAATCCATCATACAGATAATCCATCATTCATTTAAGTGACTGGTTGAATGAACACCTAGTTCTAATGCAAAGAAATCTCCTTGCCTTTTCGGCTTCTTTGATGATGACGTTATTGTCATCTGGCACAGATACCTCGATGAGCAAGTATGTGTTGTGTTTTATTGTAGGAAACAATGTCAGATTGGTTGGAGGAGATTGTACGGTTATTATTATTTATTATTATTATGAGAACAGAAAGTATAAATAGGCAGCTGCTGTTCCATTAACAACTAGCCACTCCTCACACCGTGGCAGTCTCTATGAAGCCTTAATATTATCATTGTTATTACTGTAGCCTCGATATTTACGTTTCCTTATACGCGGTTGCACTGGTATAAAAAATATCTCGCCCGCAGAATGCCACCAGTGCAGTAACATGCTTTTTTCCCTCTTTCCAGCTTAGGCTACCTTTATGAAATTGTAAGTACGGTACTGACAGCAAGAGACCGGCAATTTTTACTTGGCAACTTCTCCTTCCTCGTTGTGCTCTGTTATATTGTTTTTTAAATGTAATTTTTCCAGCTATGCACGGAAGCGTCGACTGACTTCGCCGGTACAGGGACGATGCGCAACTAAAATAAATGAATTTTTGTGTGTCGTCTTCGCTGGCACAGAACGAGCTTTTTTCGAGGTGATAAGGACCTGGAAATGGCCTGTTATTATGGAACCGTTCTCCTTCGAAACAATCTCTAATCGACATTTTCTCTCGCCTGGAACAAAGACCTAACGGTTATTATCTCTGCGACAGCCTTAGACTGAGCTTGAGTCTTGTCTTTGCCGTTTCTTTTTAACACTGTGTGTATAGGAAAAAATCTAGAGCATGTTGTCTTCAGGAAGCTGTTCGAATGAGGGGAATTCCAGGAGAATCCGGTCGATCTCGGATCCCAAGCTTTATATTGGAACCTGATTGCAATGTTATAACATAAATAAATACTATAATTGACAAACTCCAACATCACAAAACATGAATAGTGATCTTTCTGTATGTTCTTCCCAACGGATTCGGACAGATCTAAGACCTGCTTTCTTCTATAACAGAAGTGATGGTGAGGTGCACAAATTGATTGATTGATATCACGAAAGAGTTCGATTAGCTGTGGTATGCTGCAAACCTCCATCCTACGGCCTTCCAGAGAAGCTTCATCTCACAACGTCAACGCGAGTGCCCCAGGCATCGGTTATCACCGCTGGGGTACGCAACAATCTTGTACGGGTCGGATTCCAGATTTCATAAGTCAGTGAAATGAAATTAGGGAAATTTTTAGTTTTGGTATTTTTATCAAATTTGAAAAACAACCGGAGAAGTAAAACGTCCAGTCATATGAGAAATGTATTCCCGTTGAGATAATGATAAAATGTGCTGCAGGGTTTTGGCCCCAAACCATTCAGTCGCATAGCTTAGCTGTCTAATTTACACGGGCATTTAAATAATCTGTTTGTTCCAGTGTCAACAACAACATCGGACGACAAGAAACCGGGTAGTACATCAGAATTGGCGAAAGCGTCGGCGAAGCGAGTGAGACCAAAGCCTACCTCTCCAAATAGACAGGGTCCTCAGCAGTGTCAGGTATATATCTTACTGTTGACGATACAAACACTAATTTCTGTGTCCTTGACGGTCGAATTAATCTCCTATAAAAAATAGTCGTACGGAGCTGGCTGTAACAGGTTGGCCTTTATTGCTTTAATTAGTCAAACGTAATTAGCTAGCTAGTCATATACATCGATTAATCAGCTAAGTCGGTCGATTAAATTCGCTAACCACGATGTCAGCCAGCATTATCACCAGGATATGCTGGAATTCGAGCGGGCATTCCGACAATAGCTTAAAGTTCATGTTATAGAGAGTCTGGTTAGATTGGGGCTGATTAGCGGAAACCGTGAATAAGACGAATATTAATTTATCAGGTGCAAGCGATTTGAAAAAAAATTAAGGTACCTTGATTATATTACGCTGAGAATGCTTCTTATGTAAATTACTTACTTGGTTGATTTTATACTTTAGTTATATATACTAAGTGACATATAAATCCGAACACCCAGTTTAAATGGTTTTATTTTAATAAAAGTTGGTGAATGTATTTATCTTACTGTAAATAACAAGTGAAAAAATTTTCTGATATTATCAGTTGGACATTCCGGTTTTTATACTGCTTTTTTTTTAATTCACTAACGCTCTAAAAATGAATATTTAACAGCCGCAGTAAAGAATCAACGTTGGCGGATTTTGGTTCTTGACATCCTTTACGATCGGTTACGATGCCTAGAGTACGGAGACCTGTACGATTTCGTCAACTTAGTGAGTTTGAGACGGGCCGTATAGTGGGACTTCGGGAAGCTAGACTTTCTTTTCGGGCAATTGCAGTTAGAGTGCAAAGAAGTGTAGACACTGTGGTTAGGTGTCGTCAGGCATGCCTTCGAGAAGGCCGTACGCAAAGAGCAAGGGGCACTGGACGCCGCCGTAGAACAACAGACCGTGAAGATCGCCGCCTAAGATTATTGGCCTTAAGGGACCGTTTCTCCACTACCAAGTCCATTGCAAATGAATGGTTTGCAGAACACGGAAGACCTATTGGCATGCGAAGTGTTTACCGACGAATGAGAAGTTTTGGCTTGTTTTCATACTGGCCACACTGGGTCCTCCCTTTAACTCGAGAACACCGACGTAATCGCCTTGAGTGGTGCAGACAACGGTCACTCTGGGAACAGGAATGGAACAGTATTGTCTTTAGTGACGAGTGTCGATTTTGTTTGGGCATGCACGATGGTCGTGCCAGGGCTAGAAGGCGACGTGGTGAAAGGAGGAATCCACAGTTTTTGTTGAAAGACATGTTCATCACACTGTTGGAGTTATGGTTTGGGGTGCTATAGCTTATGGTTCCAGGTCACCTTTAATCTTCATCGTAGGTAACACGAACGCGCAGCGTTATATCCACGAAGTTCTAGAACCCCATCTTTTACCCTATCTTGACACCCTGGCAGATCCAACTTTCCAACAAGATAATGCCCGACCACATGTTACAAGAGTCACAATAGACTTCTTTCAACATAATGATGTCACATTGTTATGGCCACCAAGATCTCCCGACTTATCCCCAATTGAGCACGTGTGGGATATGATGGGTAGGAGATTGCTCAATTTGCAACGTCCTCCTCAGACTCTAGAAGCACTTCGAGAGGAGTTGGTGGTTGCCTGGAATGAGATACCACAGGAGGACATTGACCACCTGATCAGAAGCATGCGTGGGCGCGTTGGAGAATGCGTAGCACATCAGGGTGCATCCACACATTATTAAAAGGTCAAAGAGCTTTAAAGCAGTGCAATCATTTTGAAATTTTTATCATAGCATAATAAGTAATTATGCTTCATTGAGTACTTGAGTACAAAATTTTATTAAAATAAAACCATTTAAACTGGGTGTTCGGATTTATATGTCACTTAGTATATTTAATAATTGAATACTGGTCAGAAGAATCTTCAAAAGCTATGACCAGTTTAAGCGCCATTCTAAACACGTTGTTGAAGTTGAATTACGTTACTATGGAATGAAACAACTTATTATCGTGAGTTAAAGATTACGCGTCTATTAACTCTCAAGACAAAAAGATTACTTCAGAGAAGAACGGTCTGGGTTGGCTAGTTGAGATAATCTGTCAGCCAAATGAGTAACTATCAAGGCTGAAATTAAACTGATTTTTTTATTATTAATTAACAATTCAATCAACAAAAAGAATTAGCTCATCGAATATGGAAGAAGAACTAGAGATATGAATTGTATAAGACCAAGAGACGGAGATTAATTACCAAACGTATTAACGAGATGTCATGAGCAAAGGCAATTGAGAATTTAAGCGCTGAAGAATTGAAAACTTACAACATCTATTCCCTTGAAAGCCAACACGGGAACTGAGTAGCTACTCTTCTCGAATGATCATCTTGAACCGAGACATCATACGGATGGTCTTTCAGCCAGTGGTAACATTTAAAAGGTCAATGCTAGAATATGTACAATTAGATCAACAAATGATTTTCTACACATTATTTGATGAGCTATTCTGTCAAACACTCACTAATTCGACAGGTGGGAGAGTTGGACAGTCGTTAACGTTAAAGTGAAAGCAAGCCGACATCCGAAGAAAACTCTACCAAAAAAAAAACTCCTCCGGTTGTAATTTACTTGAAGTTTTGAATCTCTATTAAAATTGAAATTTCATTTTATTACATCTCTAATCCAGCGAATGTTTAACTTTCGAAGCCTCCTTCTTCTCAGGATGAGTTTTTGTTGGAAGGCTGTAAACTTTATGGGTTGTGGTGGTTCAGTCCACTTGCTGACATTCTTTACAGTCTATTTAATAATCATACGAGGGATGTCTTTTAAGTTTTGCGTATAGAAACATAGTAGGCCGCGCGGATCGAACGTCAGTACTGAATCTTAACCTCACTCTTTAGTAAACTTAAATTCAAAGTTTCACAACAATACGTGCAGTGTTCTCACTACAGTGAATGTTTAAGTGTCACCAAGTTATTAGAAAAATGGAACTCAACCGAGAACATTTTCGCGCCATAATTTATTATAACTTTCAAAGACAATTATCGCAACAAGAATGCCTTGCTGAGTTACTGTTTGTTTTCGGTAACGAAGCGCCACATCAGTCGGCAATTTCTCGTTGGTATGGAGAATTTAAACGTGGACGAGTGGAATAGATACTTCGAAAATTGGTTCGACCGCATGCAGATGTGTATTAATCGGTTATCAATTCTTTTTAATCATCAATTTAAGACGTCATTACTGATGCACAGGAAAAGTTAAAATACTTAGCTACTTTGCAGTTTTGTATTCGACCGTTGATATCAATTCGAGTTATATATTCCAAGGATTCGGTAAACTTGAAACTTTGAATAAAAATACGTTTCGGCGATTTTAAACGCTATCTTCAGATACATGTGAGTTTACAGAATAGTTATATAGATAGATGTTGACAGTTTGAGTGTATGTCAACTCCCAACATCTATCTGACCGAAATATTATTTTCACCAACTATTCTAGAAACTCACACAACCTGAAGATGGTGCCTAAAACTAAGAATTAATAACTTGAAGCGTCTGCAAATAACACCACCACGGGCATGCTAAAATAAACCGAAACATATGCTGCGCTGCGAAAAAAGCTAATTAAATTTTCAGAATACACATACGATATGCATAAAAAATATACGACAAATCCCAAACAGAGGATCGTATTTTCGTTTAATCCATGGTCCGCGTCGGAGCTCACAGAAGATTAAAACGAAACGCATATTAATAAAGAAGGTCTGTATGGTGCAGCAAAAACAGGCTTTTATTAGAACTGTAAAAATATCCCAGCTACTGTCGCGGAACCCTGGCGGAATCAATAATGCAGCAGACTTTTCATTTGTCGGATGAGTTATGACAAAAAAAAAACGGTTTTTGCGTCTACTTACCAGTCGCCTTTGAATGCTCATGTAGAGAGTTTAATTTAATTGGGATGTTATTTTCTTTCAGCTGCTTCAATGAGCACACTAGAATAGTTCTTTTCATAAACACGATACAGAAAGGTATGCACTTAAAGAACCTATATGTGTTCTGTCAAAGAGATTCCTGTCCTCTCTGGATAGAAAGGATTTATGAAAGATATACAAGAGACAATACACGAATCTACGAGGAGCATCTTTTGTAAATGTCAAAAACCAACTAACGCAATTGCGGATGGTAGCTAAGCAATCAACCCGCTATCCTATGATGAGATTTGTTTATCAACCAGAAACTCGAGCGACAAATTCGTGCAGACCCAATTCTCATTTGTCAATCACAGCGAGTGCGGCTCGGGTATGACGTAAAAACCTATAAAACGTCAAAAAAACCTATAAACTGTCATCTATTTTTTTTTTTTTATATATATCGAAACAGCCGCGCAGGCAGAAGCCTAAATGCCGGAACACCGCGGCTGCTATGATGATCCCAAAGAAATTTTGTTAATACGATTTTTGAACTGCCTAAGGTTAGTAGAACTGGGAAAAGCATCCTCCCGTAGATTGTTCCACAATCTAGACACCCTCGGAACAAAGGAGCGGTCGTATCGGCCAGTTCTGGATGTACGAAGTTTGACACGGTTAAGATGGGACGCCGAAGTCAGGCGGGTGTGTCTGGCAGGCACATCGCGCGGCGGCATCATGGAAGAGAGCTCTGAGGAGCAAAGCCCGTTGGTGTAGCGATAGAAAAGAGCTAGATCGCCGACGGCCCGCCGGTGCGAAAGAGTCCCGAGAGAAGAGTCATCGATCAGTCGGACCGCCCTCCTCTGGACAGCATCGAGCATGGACAATGTAGTCGGGGCGGCAGCACTCCAAATGTGTGAGCAATACTCGAGGCTAGCCCTTATCTGGGCCTTGTATAGAGTGAGAAGGTCATGCGGAGAAAAGTACTTCTTAGCCCTAAACAAATAGCCTAGCTTTTTCCCAGCAGCTGCAGCTATTGAAGAGATGTGTTCGTGCCAGATCAGGTCCTCGGTGATCTGGACTCCGACCAGCCGAAATGAATGGCTCTTTGGTAGAACTCGACCGTCCATCGAAACTGTATGAGCGCTAGGACGCTTTTTGTTCGTCAAAGTACAGTACTGTGTTTTGGAAGCATTGAACTGTACAAGATTGTTGCGTCCCCAAGCAGTGATAGCTTCCAGGTCTCTTGTCAGAGAAGAAGTCGTCGCTAGTCTTCTTTTTTCCAGCTCAGCGGCAGACATCGGCTTGTCACTCTGAATTCCTGCATGTAGAGTGCAGTCATCATCGAAACTGTGGATCGGGTCGATCGTGCAGGAAAGGAGGTCGTTGATATGTAAGAGAAACAGTGTTGGAGCCAAGACCGATCCCTGGGGAACACCCGCGTTGACGTTGTGGGATGAAGAGGAGAATCCGTCAATTACGACGGATATCTTGCGGCCAGAGATAAAGTCAGCTACCCATCTGCAAAGCTTTTCTGGGAGGCCGTAGGATGGAAGTTTGCTTAAGAGGGCAGCGTGCCACAGCTGATCGAACGCTTTCGTGATGTCAAGAGCAACGACATGAGCCTCACCATGAGACTGGATGAGTTTACTCCACAGTTGCGTGACGTAAGCTAGGAGGTCCCCTGTGGATCGTTGGTGCCGGAAACCGTACTGCCTGTCGCTAATCAAGCTGTGACGTTCGAGGTAGTCTAGAAGCTCGCGATTTATGCACCTCTCCATCACTTTACTTAAAACAGAAAGCAGAGCTATAGGCCTGTAGTTGTAAGGGTCGGTTTTAGATCCTTTTTTTGGGATGGGCTGTACATGAGCAAATTTCCAGTTTTCATTTCATTGCAGACTAGGTAGTTTTTAGGGAGCAAACAGTCATTCCACATTTGCTCACTAGGTAAGCGTCCATTTATGGAGAAACGACAACTACACAACTTGTTGGTTGCATATGTTTTGTGAAGCCGTGTAGTCTGTAGTTTTCATCTTTGACAAGAAAGTTGTTTGAATAGCAAGATCCAATCTGGGTTACTGGTCAGTGTACAGTGAATATAATTATATATCTCTCTCATTTTTGAAATTCAGCAAATTTGCATATGTAATTTCTAGAATGGATAAGAAAGAAAAATTCAACTCTATATTAATAACATCGCTCTATCTTGCAGGTTAAAAAATTGACTTTATGTCAATCGTGTATTCGTTTTAAAGATGACGTCCTTGTTATAGTTGTACACCCATTATCGTATGTTTGCTTGGGTACCTTCATTTTACAGGTACAGTGTAAAGAAGTGGAATCCAATCCCAAATCAGGCATACGAGAGTACGCGACAGATCAAGCTCTTAATGCCACCAAAATTATTCCATTTGTTAGAGTGCGATAAATTATTGAATCTCTGAAACAAACTACTCAAAATTTGATGCAACGGAGAACGTCTGATTCCTAAACAACGTCGCAGCAGTTGTTATTCCAAGAGTTGTAATATAGAGGATAGATCCGAATATTATTCCCTCGCTAAATAACGGCTAAGCCCTCTCAAACATTTTGAACACAGGCATCGAAGCATGAACGTCAAGCGCAGTGCAATTCGTCGAAAACAAAATGCGTACACGTACTGGTGCTTCGTATGATCCGGCGAACAATACGCTAAAAATAATACTGAAAGCTCGGGCATCCACTTGGGAATATATGGCATATTTGGAGTACACTTTACTGTATTAAACCCATATCATACGCTCTACAGGGCTGCGGAATGCTGCGGATACCGCTGCAAAATGATGCCTGGCTCACATATGTTTGGACAATGACAATGGCCCCGGCAGGCGACGAACTGTCCTATTTGTTTTATGTCATGGGCGGCTTGTTCAAGGGGAATAACGTGACACTGAACTGTCGGTGTATGTTCCGTTACAATGTTTAGGCCATTTTATGTTTCCCATGAGTGTAAGCAGTGGCTCATGGATGTCAATAAAACCAACAAATATGAGGCACAAATATAAATCGTTCACGAGACCATGGTCCAATTCCACGTTATACTCTCCTAATGAACAAATAGGGAGTGGACATATCACACTAATTTTGTATAGCGTCAATTCATCACTAACTAACTTTTCTATGGGGCATATAAAGTTTAATGAAACGCCTAATTGAAACGTCTGTACCTTTACTTTCTTGTCACACTTATTTGTTTAGCAGTACCTACCACCCTAAAACATTATTCCCTAAAAAAATCACCATAAGTTTGAACGACAATATCACTTTTTTGTAGCGTTGATAAAATATGGAAGGTTCTAAATCTAAAGCATTGAACAATTTTTAAATGAGTGAGTCGGTATCGCAGTACATTAATAAACTTCTCATGCGTTTCTCATTTTATTTCAGGAGAAACACTCGCAAACTCAAACATGGTTTATCATTATGTGTATTTGGTTCATTTTTGCCTGTTCAAATGACAAGAAACTCATTGTTACAGGTCTGTGCCAAAGTATTTGGTAACGCATCTGCCCTAGCGAAACACAAGTTGACTCACAGCGATGAACGGAAGTACGTCTGCAACATGTGCGGAAAAGCTTTCAAGAGACAGGATCACCTGTAAGTATGAAACAAAAAATATCCTATACGTATATCGATCCATTTTTGGTTGTTACTTGAATAGATTCCACTTGAAATTATATGAAACTCTCTAAATTGCGGTATCGGTAGTCGATACTCGTGTTCAGGCGGTGTACCTGTTATAGGGGAAATTCCACGTCAAAATACTTCAATTAGTTGACGAGTAATAAACATGCATACATAGTCTGGCAATCTAGACTAAATCGATATTTGCTTTACAAGTATAATGTATACTTTGCCAGACAGTTTGGAGCAGTGTATACACATATGCGAGTTATTGATTGAATGTGGTTATCGTGCAATTACTCCAACTACATACAGCCGCTTAGGCAGAAGCCTAAATACCGGCGACCGAGGCTTCTATAAGAAGCTTAGAGACACTGTGTTAATAAAAGTTTTGAGCTGCATAGTGTTAGAGAACTGGCAAATACCTCTGCATGCAGGTTGTGCCACAATCTCGACACCCAAGGCACAAAGTTCATGAATATCTTATTCTATTCTCTGGAGAGCAAAGCCCATTCACATAGCGGTGCGAGTCTCGAAACGTTTAGAGAAGAGTAATCGATCAACTGGTCAACGCTGCTCTGAGCAGCATCGATCTAGTTGGAGCAGCAGCACACCAAATATCTGAGCCGTATTCGAGGCAACAACTAATTTGGGCCTTGTACACAGTAAGGAGGTTCGTGTGAAGGAAAGTATTTCTCAGCACTAAACCAATAGCGTAGCTTTTCTCAGCTATTGACGATATCTGTTCGTGCCACATCGAGCGACCAGCTCTTCGATAGAACTCGAGCATTTATCAAAACCGGGTGAGCGCTGGGGCGCTTCTTGTTAATCAAACTACAGTACTGTGTTTTTGAAGCAATAAACTGTACCAGATTATCGCCTCCTCAAGTATTGATAACCTCCAGATCTCTCGTCATGGGGGAAGTCGCTGCTAATCTTCTTTTCTTCATTTCGCCGACAGAGATCACGTTGCAGTAGCCTGGAATGAAATGCCCTAACAGGATATCGACCACCTTATCAGCACGATGCCCAGGTGTGTCAATGAGTGAAATGTAATCATTTTACTAGTCAGGGACACTGAAGATATATGCCGCAAATTATTAAAATCGGATAAACATACGTACACATTTACTATTGAAACAAAAATTGATATAGTTTCGTATAATGTAAGTGCAAGAAAAAATGCATTCGGAAATAATCCTGTGTTTGATACCACTATAGTGTGTTATTGCATTTTAGTACTCAATAATATTGAGTATGTATATTTACAATGCAGAACTAGGTAACTAAGTGACAGCTACTGAACTTCACCATTCCAGTTGTACATCATAGTGCAATAAGGACGTTATTATTATTATTTCTGCGAAGAGCACTAATAACTACCTGGCCATTGTGATCTTGCCTCCATTGTATATTTCGCAAAAACCTAACAATGCTAGACGTTCCCAGCATAGCCCATAAGACAAATAAACAAAATGCAGTCTATTTATAGAACTGTAATTATTGCAATATAAATTATTATGTTTATTTTATTCTACGAAGACCACAAAGCGCCGTAGTTTTGTCTTCATTTTATATTTCAAAAAAACCTGATGCAGTCCAATTCGTAGAAATGAATTTTAATTTAGCTAAAACCTACGCACTACACCGTTTGTTCTTTAATAAATAAATTTGAACGATAAATACATATTCCGAATTTCCGGAAAATGGAAAATCATAATTTTAATCTAGAAGCATTGCGGTTCGTAGTATGTGCTTATGTTTGTCAAGTTCAACAAAATATGCGGCATTCCATCAATTTAATGGCTGTACCGTCAGCGGCGATATTGTATCCATTGCAGTGTGACATTTTTTACTGTTTGTGGCACTTGGAGTCTCATACCATTTTATTCAAAAGTAGACTTCCTAAAACACGTTGGTTGGTTTCTATTCGTGATTAAATTGACGTTCAGGCACTTATAAAAAATACGAAAAACTGAAGTGTGTCAGGTGTGTTGAAAACTGTTTAACTGTTTTCTAGAATGACAATTCGATTCAGTCAATCACGTTGATTTGGATACATTCAAGGAGGGATAGTCAGTGAACGCTTCAATGGATATTTTTATTGCACATACCAGTTAATAACCATAATATCAAGTAGTTGTTCAAGGGTGATTCTGGATCAGTCTGCTATCCTGTCCATCCACATCTTCAATGTGATAGTCAATGGCCGGAATGTGTGGTACAGTCTTTAAATGAGTTTATCTGCTGACGAAGAAGCGTCACTAAACGCCTTGTTTTACAAACCTTGAAAAATGATATACACTACGCCACAGATAGTTTATGTAATATTAAAAATGTTTGATGAGCGTTATACCCAAGTTCTCAGTTAGCATTTGCTCATTGCTGAAATAGTCATAAATATACTATACTAACTTAATAACTGAATCGGCAGTACAATAATTATAATAATGATAATAATAATATGTAATAATAATAATAATTTATTGGTCATAATATATAAATCATATGAATGACAAGTAATTGGATGTAGAATCCATAAAGTAAAAAACCATAAAACGAAATTAAAAATGTTAAGTTAAAAGCTTCTCCACTGAGTAATAACATTGATCGAGGAGGATGCACTCCATTTGTTTTTTGAATTGCATACATTTCAGCTGGTCTGAGGCAGCTCATTGTAAAAAATGAGGCTCAACTAATTTCTGGCAGATATATCTAGTCCATAACGTGGCAGTCTCAGTGTTCCAGCCTGTCTTGTATTATATTTCTGACTTTCTGATTGTGTTGTGTATCGGTCCAGGTTGCCATTGAATAAAATCATAAGGAAAATTATATAAGGAAGGTCTATAAGTTTCTTTCAAACTAGTTTGAATTCCAAAACAAAACGTACACGTTCAAGATGTAGTTCCGTTCTTCGTATCTCCATAGAAAACCCAATACTAACTAGGCCAATGATATTGACACCAAATTTCGCTCAAATCACAGATAGAGGGCTTCTAAGTTATTTTGGTAAAATTAATCTTATAAATCAGTTTGCAGTCTAAAACAAAGATAATTTTTTCCAAGATACAGTATAAAGTATTATATTCTTAGTATTTTATTATTCAGTTAATATCACTATGTATAGATGTTGCATATGACAGATTATGTATTATGCTGTGTAATACGTTTATTAACTCCTTCTTCTGTAGATCCTTTCAATTCATTTACGAATCTTGGCCTTAAGATAGTGTACGTATATATAAACAAACTTATTTCTGGCTGAAAGAACAAAAGTTTTGCAGCATTCGAAGGTCATCATCATTCATATACATTTATTCAACATACCAGTGTTTCTTTCTGTTCCCATTTTCAGAAAAAGGCACACACATATCTAACCTAGCAATTTCTATACCACAATGAAAAGGGTATGTCCTAGAGCGAAAGACATTAGGAACTTTCATTGTAAAATTTCAATATTGTAACGCTACTGAAAGTCGTTTTTCAACGCTGAATCTTCGAAAGCTGAGCAATGCAACATGTGTAATAAAAGAGAGACCTGAGCAGACAAAATGTTCCTTGCGATGCAAGTATTACATCCGGCTGATAAGCAGTCTTTATGAACGTTAGATTATTCCGATCTAAAAAGGATTTTACTGGGCATGTTGGTTTTACGGCTCGCAGCGGTGGCTTCCTTAAAATATTCTGTTGCTCTTCAGTGATGATTACATGCATGTTACATTAGCCCCTGACGTCTTCTGGTATTTTTATTCAACTTATATAACGGACCTCGTGACAGACCGACTGATTGAAAGTACTCAAAAGATCTACAGAAATAGAGATACTTTTTGCATAAGTTCTTAGTGTTCCCTATATGTAGTATGCAAGTTGATTTAAATGTGCCTCCCGATTCACAAAATTCGCAACAAAGTAGCGCAGATGTTCTATGAATTAAAGATTTAAAAGGTTTGCATTTCGGAAATTATTTCAAGAAATCTTTTTAAAATTTGTATCCTACAGTTACAGCCTGAAATTATTGGTCCATGCACAGGCCATGCCTTCTATTGGGCCTATTTTTATTTTATATTTGTTTACTCATGTTGTTTTCTTTGTACATTGAGTGAATAAGTGTTATTATTTAGAATAAATTTCTGCAGCGAAAAATCATTTATGGTGACATCACTATTACGTTTTGTTGTTGTTATGTCTTCCAACCTGGCTTCCAGAAGATTTTTAAATTGACCCTTGCAGACTGAGATGGTAGACGACGTCGTCATAACCACAGCGAACTATATATTTTCGCTGGTGGCCATCTAAGTGTAAACCTAATGTCTTTACTACAAACTCATTGTCGTTGATAAAATTCTTCAAAATGAAATCTATGGTTTGGCTTTTAGTTTCGTTCAGGAAAAAACTATTAGCAGCAAACCAATTTTCATTATTTGCAGTGTTCAGATCATCAGCAGTGGTACCACTCTCTAGCGTAGTAGTATCATCTGTATTCAGGACAATACTCTGAGGTGAATTACAGAGGGCCAGGTCATTTATCAATATTAAAAGAAGCGTGGGACCTATAACGGAACCCTGTGGAACCCCCTGCCAGTAATTGCGTAAAATGACTAGATGTATATATTGTCTGTCTTCATGTGATTTTTATTATATCGTTAGATCCTCTGAGTACATTTAAGACGAGCTAGATTTCTTAAAATGGTGCAGACAGGCATATCCACAGGCGCTAAGGCGCCAAAACCTTAACACCCTGTATCTCCAATCGACAGCAGTTCTACAAATTTTCTTTAAAATTGACGGGTGGTCAAATACCATATGACGACTGACACTTTACTGTTGTTCGTATCTCCAAAATTAAATTGAAATATGATCGAAATAAGGATGCTTGTTTTCATAGGGGCACTGCGGAGTCTTAGGGGAAGAAGCCTGTCGATAATGTAAGCCCGTCGATGAGACCCTAGTAATGGAACTGATTCTGCTTATTCTAGAGCAAAAATGCTGAGATAGGTTATAACGCAAACTTGAACATTCTAATCTCAAAGCTCTTTGTCGTTCGCAATCAGTTTCAAAATTCCGGTTGCAGTTTAGTTACATCAGACGAGTGGAACATAAGCTTCAAAGTTGCTGTCTTCATTCCATCGTACGTCGAGTTTACTACTACATACATCGACAACTTCACCGGTCTTTTACGACTACCGACGAACTTCCAAGAAACTTCATTTAATTTGAGTTATATGTACGTTGAAGTGTTGTCGCTGCGATTACTGCCACACTGTTGCAACTGAATTGTACATGTGTTACATACGCCAACTAGACAAAACACGCGAGTTACTGAAAGCTTTCAATCCACCAGGGAAGGATAGAGATTGGTGGAATGCGGAGTAGTAATTCCAACTGGACACATAGTTTTGTGGTGGTCACTGACTTGTGGATAACGCGCTACAAGAAGTTTTTTCTGACGCCTGTCGAGATGCTCTGCAGTTGGCATCGGGTACATTCGCATCCATATCCCTACTGCGGTATATCCAGTTATTAAATACATCATCTTGGCAAGCCATAATGAATCCCTCGTCTCAAACTTTAACCTACTACTCGTAGACCTTAGAACTGCTTAGACAAGCCATACTGCTCTGTGTCTGTAGAAGGTTCCACGCATAGGCTTGTCTCTATGAAGCCTCAATAAGTAATTTGCTTCAGCAGTTTTAATGTCTGCTCTTCGAGAGACGCTCATGAAGATCTTTGTCCTCTTGCTTTAGCATAGGTATTATTAGTATTAATTAATTAGTATTATTATAAACAACAATATCTACAGCTTTTTAATGATGATGAAGGAGAGAATCAAACTAGTGTGATGTGTAGTGATAGAGAAATAAATGTTATAGGTACAAATACTACACCATCAACAGCTATCCTAAAGGTCATAAGTACTTCCATCCGCATGTAGATCTGAATACCAGAAGCCATGTATTTTTGTAGACTTTTCTATGACGCATTAGGATCACGTGTTTTTCTATGGCACGCGTCATCTTCTTATTTTGCATGCATTTCAAGCCAGCTTTTTTCTTGCAGCAACGGCCACATGCTCACGCACCGTAACAAGAAGCCATACGAGTGCAAAGCGGACGGCTGCGGTAAAAGCTACTGCGATGCTCGTTCTTTGAGGCGGCACACCGAGAACCATCATCACCACAGCGGCCACCATGCAGTCACCGCCTCCACCACCACCATGTCCCCTGCTCAAGGGGCGGCGTCCGGAGATGCCGCTTCGCCTCACGCCAGCGCCGGGAGTGGGTGTATCCAATACGCGCCGGCCCCGACGTCGACGAGTGGAGAGAAAGGCGGAGCTAGCGGTGCTGGTAGTGGGGGAGGGGCTGCCGTGAGCAACGGGAAGAGCCAGTTGCAACAGCTGTTGGCCACGGAGCCTGCTAAGGTATTTGTTGCTTATCTAGACTTGAAATTTGCAATTTTTTATTGCTACTGACAATTTAGAAAAGGTAAACAAATGCTAACAATCTGAAACCAAAAAGTTCAGAGTTACCAGTAGAAGAGCCATTCCGTCGAAAAAAAACAGATTCTGTCACGATGGCTGAAATGCTACCGGCTATTTAGATGGGATCACCGAATCATTACCTGCGGTAAGTGTCTTCACTTCTGCTCATTAGTTTACGAGGATTGTCTCAAAAATAAGGCTACAACATTTCCTGCCTCCTGCTTCGTTGTTCTTCGTGGATGTCCATGCAGTGGTCAGAGCACTCTCTCGATTAACCATTTGATGACATGTTGAATGCATATTCACATTTTCCCATATACTTTACTCAAATGGCGATGAATTTCTATGGGTGGTAACGTAACGCGCGGAAACCCTATTTTTGAAAAAGCCCCAGTAGTTTCACAAGGGGTCTTCTGGGAGGCCATAGGATGGAATATTTGGTAAGAGGGCAGCATGTCATAGCTGAACGAACGCTTTCGTGGTATCAACAGCAACGACATACGCCTCGCGATAAGACTTGATCAGCTTACCCCACAATTGCGTGACGTAAGCTAGGAGGTCCCCTGTGGATTCCTGGTGAGGGAAACCATACTGCCTGTCGCTCACCAAGCCGTGAGATTCTCCAGAAGCTCCCTATTTATGCACCTCTCCATCACCTTACTTATAACTGAAGGCAGAACTATAGGCATGTAGTTGTAAAGGTTGGTCTTAGATCCTTTTTTGGGATAGGTTGAATATGAGCAAATTTTCGGTTTTCTGCGAAATTGCCAGGTTCTTCAGATAGATGGTGAAGACGCGGAAGAAGAGAGCAAACTCCGCTCCACACCTCTTCAATACTACAGCAGGAATCAAGTCCGGACCCGAAGCTTTGTTGATTTCAAGCAATAAGAGCCTCCGTCTTACGGTCTTATGCCTGAATGTTACTTCCCGCATAGTATACAAAACCCTTTGAATCATAGGGACTCGGGCGTTGTGGGAGTCATCCATGGTGGAGTTGGCACCAAAGATCTTGGCAAGCATTTCCTTCTTAGCCTCTGAGTCAGTTACAATAGTTCCATACTGGCACGTAAGTGATGGAAGGCGAGAAGTTCTTTTCAATCTGCTTGGCCAGCGTTCTCAAGGACCGACTGTGTCATTGTGCTGGTATTTAGCATTGTGAACCGCTTCGTTATATTTGTTTTTGGATTCGACATCGGCTGGTCTGTTGTCTATAGTGGGGTTCGCTGATGAGCGATGTCACGATTTGTTGACCCAGCCGTTGCCGTCAGGTTTCTCTCAACGTGGGTAATTCTGATTATTGTAGAACAGGCATTCGCCGCTTCCAAGTCAGAGAAACAAACATCTCTCCAAGAAAAGATGGAGAAAAAGTCTCTGCGCCCTTCCCAGTCGGCATGTCAGTAATGCCAAACTTTGCGACCTAACCTTCACAGTAGTTACTAACAAACGGACTGTGTCTTTTTCAGAATGTTAAGGATGTGTCGTTGTTACCATCGTCGAGTCGGTTGTTAAGATTTAATTGCCTCGCCGTTTCTGTACCGACGGCAATAATGATCGGTTACCCGAACAGCGAACACTAGCAAATGCTGCAGTAGCATAGTCGATGCACCCGCTTCCCGCAGCTTACACTAGCGTGTTTGCAATGATCCCAGATTTGCATGTTATGTATTACGTATGAGCGCATGCATTTTTCAACAAGATCAACATCGAACCCTTGCGCGTACTGTGGCAAGTGTACACTGTTTATTTACCGATTCCGATGTATTGGTCTGAAGCGAGAGAATTACATCGGTTTGATCACTTCGCTGAAATGAATTCTATCAAACTCTCGATCGTCCTTCCTTATAAGCATTGTCAGTACTGACGGCCGTTTCAATGCTTACCTTAGGAGACAGTGTTGACTAGAACTATAGATGATGGTCCTTTAACTCATCTTAAGACCTTATAATAAGCTAGTACAATTAGCTGTGTATCTCTGTACAATAAGCGCAAGGAAAACATTCAAATATACTCAGTCATTAGAAGAAAAAATAATTTCTTCAACTTGATTTCTTGGCAATGAAACGACAAAATTGTGGCATCTCATTCCAAGCAAATCAAACTTCGTAGATTAGCTGTGGCAGACTCTGTGGCGTATGGTGCCAAGTGGGTGGTCTCCTCCCCATCATATCCCACACATTAAGGCCTATTTCTTGAAGAAAGTCCGTGGTACGACAAGCAATATGAGGACGAGCGTTGTTGTAGGACATCGTCAACTTAACACGCAGCAGTCAGAAGGGGTGATCGACTACCACAAGCAATAGCCCCCCAAACCATTACTGCGACAGCTTTGCGTACATGCCTCTCAACAACAAATTAAATATCTCGCCGTTCTCCAAGGCGGCGTCTTACCTTTCTACGACCATGGTGCGTACCTAGACAGAAACGCAATTCGTCACTCAAGATTACATGCGATCTTGTCTCCCAATGTTGCCGTTCTCTGCTCCAGTTGTAATGTTGACGCGGTCAGAGGAAGCACCAACCATGGCCGGTATGAAAAAAGTCCAAATGCTCGATAGATTGTACGCATAGTAACAGTTCTACCTTCTTCTCCAAACCACTGGTCAGCGATCTGACGCAAAACTGTGTCGTAGGGCTACTTGTCTGAAGCGCCTATCCTGATTGTCTGTGGTACGCCTCGGTGGACCAGTTGAGCTTCTTCGTGTTCCTCTACCTTCTTCTATCCATACACGACACACACGCATTACCGTCATTGCAGTACAATTAACACAGCGGCCAATTTTGCGATAGGACAAACCAACATCTCGATAGGCAATAAATGGAATAAAAGAACCTGAAAGCAGCAGAAGCACCGTACTCTTTAATTATAGGAGGGCGACTAGATGGAAAAAATTCCGATGAGCCCGATGTGTTGAACAAACGCCCTACACTCTTCCCTATTCGTCAGCTATGTTCCACGATACCTCTGGTGGACATGTTAAGCGTTACAAATTAGTGGGATTTCAGCGGCCGCGTTGTAGACGATGCGCCGCGCTTCCAGGTGTGGTAAAAAGTGAACTTCCACTTGGCGTTGACAAATGCGAAGGTATTTTTCTTGCGAGCTAGAGACGCTGGCTTCCGCTCTCAAGGTTCGTTTTAATTCGCAGACTGAGTTACGGCAAGGTATAACTCACCGAGGCTAAAAAATGCCAGATTTGAATATCGGGAGGAGGAATGGCGTTGGATCTGTCGCCTGGAAAATTAGGTTGCAGGTGAAATGTCATCCAGGGGAATGTTCTCAGATATGAATCCTGGAAACAGATTGCAAAAGCATTATGACTAGCTGGAACGAATCGCAGTTGCATTTGGAATTCGATTTTGAAGATTACCAACTTCTGATCATAGACACAGCAGACGTAAAGAGTTTGGTAACTTGGTTATTTACACTCGGCTTGCAACTAGTAGTTGCCAATCAAGCGAACTGTCTTGAAGCCAAAGTTGTTGTATCCGCTTTTGTGCCATACTATCACAATTTGATAAGCCAGATGATAGTTGTGGAAAGCAAATGAACAATCGTCATAATCTGATAAACGTTTTCATCGCTTCATACATTGCAAAATAACTTGAACGCATATGGGCTCATAAGTTCTGGAAATAAACGTCACGCTCCCTTAAAATTGAATACTAGATATGAGATCTGTTCACAGGTCCCATGGCGCACACGTATGTATTCACGTCGTCAATACTTCCAGCTAACACTTCTTTATTTTTTCGATAGGGTGGAAAAGGAGGGAATAACGATGGCCTTACTAAACAGCAACTGGACCTGATCCACCAAATCATGGAACAGACTCAGCGGCAGTCGCAATCAGCTGTCACAACTGTCAAGTCATCGTCAACGAAGATTCTGACGAAGCCGGCCACCAAATCTGGCAAAGCGTCTCAGCCAGGAAAAAGCTATTCGGTAAGTAGATTATTACTGGCAGAGGTACTGATAGGTAATATGAGCAAACAAGATAGGCATTCTTTAACTATGAACGACAGTGTCAGCACAAGTGTCATCTATTACCAGAATCGGTTACGGCGAAGTGACCTGACCATCATACATACCAAGAGGCTCCATAAGCTTCGGAGGTTCGAATTCACCAAAGCTCCTTTTTTCTCTATTTTTGTTTTAATTGTCACATTATGTGGTTCAGATGTAAGCATTTATTTATGGATGAAAATAAGATAATTCAACTTCACTGAATATGGCATTTTCAGCCAGCACAAAGAAGTCAACTTATTTGAGACATGATCAAATCGTGTTAGACCGTAGATAAATCTTACGCAACTGTTCTAAACAACCTGCAGTCTGTTCTTATCCGTTCCATCGAAGCAGGGATAAAATAAAATATTACGGTGGATAAGAACTGGTATTAACAACGAAATCTAACTAGGTTCACCCCACATGAACTCGAATAAAAATCACCTGTACTTATAAAAACCACCCTCCGGTTTGACGTCACCCCATTCCGCCAAACAACGCACACGGATACTGTGGGAACCGGGTGACCTCTGACCGCTGGGCCGTACTGGGGGTGACCCAACCACTTTTGAATATACGCGGCAGCTTAGAGTAGAGCACGTTGACCGGTATAATAGTTCAGTCAATAGAAACAAGAAGCCACACATATGCATTTATACTAGCATCCTTACGTAACACAAAGGTGGCGTAATTTTTTTCTTTTAAAAAACAAAGACTAATGTGGGCACAAGCCGCAATAAAGGAATTTGAGCGGAAATGGATGGATTGCTGTCCCGAGCGACGTACGTTTCTGCTTATTGTCTCCATCAGGCCCTAATGGATGTTCATTGGGACGCTGAAGTGGAAACATATGCCCATAGACAGCACCTCAAGGTTTGAAAAAAAAACATAAACCGATGCGAAAAGCGATGTATAGTTGCTATTACCTTTTATTCCGCAGACTTAAAAATTGCTTTAAATATAAATAACGTATGTCAGTAAAATTGAATTACGTTTATTTTGGCTATTTTTCGACATGTGATGAAGACATCGAAAACTATGTAAGATACGAAGAGATATCAAAAAACAGAAAAATCATATTTAACTATTTAATTCGAAAAAAATATATATTTTGTTCAAAAAAGTCAGTGGTGTATAATTTTTTTGGCAATTTATTCCTATAGCTATTAATTATCTTCTAGGTAGTGCTAACTTATTGCAAAGAGCAGCACTGCCAAAATTCCACAAAATCGACACAAAAATCCTTGAGGCAGTTATAAAAAACGATCTATTTAAAGTACTTTGACACCCGGAATCTTGGGAATTCTTTTTAGGTCACACTTTTATATGAGCGCTTTAACTTATTCGGTTCAAATGCGGATTTGTAGTTATAGTCTATCATTAAGTAACAACCTGCACATATCAATATGAAGATTTAGCTTAAGGTCTGTGTTTATTTTTATTGACTTGATTGTGAAGCATTGTGTAAGGTATTTTTATGTTCACTATGTATGCTATAGTTAACCTTAGATTCGGTACATGACCAAGAAACAAGTGTTAATAGGATGCTTCCTATCAGCTAGTTAGGATGATCGCATGTATTCGTCTAAATTTATTTACTAGAAATACTTGATTATTCAGTAGAATAAGTCGTAGCTTATACAGCATATTGATTTCTGTTTCCATTGCATGTTCACTTTCCTAGTCGAAGGGTTACACACCAAAAATCATGACCCTCAATCTACGCCACTGCAACTAATTTAGATTCAGATAACTGGACCAAAAGTGACGTCAAGAGATAGCCACCTTATAGATCCTTCCCCTAAAATACGGTATTAAATTATTCAGTAGAACGGAGAACATCCAGTGCGTGAGACGATTTAACTAGTTTTCGTCTTGAAAAATGTTGCGGTACAAAAGCTTTGTTTAAAAAGTGAGTGGAACGGTCTATAATGAGTTATTGGAATTATTATTATGGATATCCAGTATTCCAGGTTTGTTGCATTTCCCATTGTATCTGTTACTATACGAGTACATGTCCGAACAGTGAAGTTTTTTCACGACATTAGGGACATTATATAATGTTGCCATGATATCGTCATTATCTCGACACCGCAGGTACCGTCAAGGACCACGCTGAGTCTTTCCGACCTCATTTAAAGAAAAAATGTCTATTTGCTTCTCACGAAATAAGTAATCAACCGATTCCATTCAAAAGAAGCGTAACACAGCTCAATGTACGGATATGATACTCTTGAAGTTTATATTAGTGCTTAACTTATGTTATTTGAACGCTCACCAATTATCATAAATTACAACTCAGTACTTAATTAAACTATACTATCGAATTATGTGGAGTGGCCCATTCTGCTCTACCAAACGCAACTTTCATGAGGTCCTGGACCGAATTCAGGTCACTATCTCTCAGTGTTTCGTAAATTCGCCGTCTTAATTGTTCTTCATGATAAACCTGGCGTGATGCTAGGTCTAGCCAAAACATGATATGATCATTTGTATGATGTTCGTGGACAAACTGAAGCAATTTACAAAGGTAGTTATTCACTATTCAAAGCTCCACCCCTCACTCTTCCCACAAAAGGTTGGGATACACCTGTTTTAGGAATTGCGCACCAGACAAGGATTTTATTTGCAAATTTCGCTTAATGTTTGTATATAACATTTTCCGGGCATTCATTACGTTGTCCGTATAGAATCCGTCGGTTCCCTTCATTTCAGAATATACTCAAAGAGAAATACTCTTCGTCATCTAAAATAATGATTTTTCCATTGGCAAAATGTACCCGCCTGTACCTCAAGTCGGTCAACGTCGTACTCTTAGAAGATCTGTATTGACGAGTCAGTCTCCTTGTTGACATTCCAACCTAATTTTTTGCTCTTCTCGCCAATCTCTCTGACCTAACGTGCAGTAAATGCACGTTGGCTTCCACTTTTTGGGAGATTCAGACATGGTATTCTCTTCTCGCACTGCGCTATTATTCGATAAATGGTCCACCGTTTTGAAAGATAGTGATTTTATATACTAGGGTTATGAAGTAATCATAAGCAGGTCCAATATGGCAACTACTTATGACTCGTTAAGTAATGGTAGGCGGAGGACTTTCTGAGAAGGGCTGAAAACGTAGTTTCCGAATATACAGTATAACGTTCCACGTGAAGACCACGGGCAGCTAAAGAATTTGAAATTGAATAATTCATGACTTCTGGAATCGTACTACTCTCCAACCATCATATCTGTCTGTTGCGAAAATCTTTTTTTATAAAAAATTTTGTTGCACATATGTATACACTTTATTAATATATCCAGATACCGACTCATTCATATATATTTATATTTTTTGAGAAGATCGCTTTGACATTTATGCACTTTATTAATATACACAGATACCGACTCTTCCATGTAAATTGAGATTGGCTTCTATATTTTTGATAAGAAGGCTATAAAATTGATGAAGATAATGAAGATAAGGGATTTGAGCAAGATCCTGGATTAATAACGATATGTTGTTTATTTGAGACAATATTGCACAAACCCTCACTTGTCCCGAAGCATGTTTTTTATCACCATCTTGGACCATTTATGTAGTCAACAGAACTGTCCTTAGATAAAGCGCAGAATCTGTAAACGCATTAATGTTCAATGTTTAACCCTTATCAGAAAACGCCTCCATCCTTAACTGAGAGGCAACAGAATCGACCGAAATTATGAGTAATTGTTTTACTGGTATCTCACAAGTAAAGTCATTTTTCATCAATGTTCTCTAAATATGTGTTTAATTAAAAGATATTTCCATTTAAGACAGATTTATGATCACCCATTTAGAAACTAATTATTATTTAAACTAACAACGCTAGGGTAATAAAGTTTAACAAATGGTCGATTAAATTGCAACTTTATACTCTCGCCTAACGTGTACGTGAGCGGTGCTGTAGATAAACTTTGAATTTCATTCCGGGTGAGTCTCCCAGGCATCCCACACGAGAGTTTAATATGGCTACATTTTGTTACAAACCAAACTCTAGGGTGAAAACATATTTTATAACAGATACGTCGATACAACGCGATACAATGAGCTCGAGGGTGTTTATGTTTCAGCAAGTTCTATGCACAGTTGAAAGTTTAATATTACTACAACTTTACACGCTTACTGCTATTTCATATCAATATGAGGAATGAGGAGGCAACTCAGGGTTGAAGGGTGTAACTCAAAGACTCAGTTAGTGCTTCCAAAACCTGATCTGGCTGTGGCTAAGAAGTGCCTTTCTCCACATGAGCTCAGTCTGTAA